TTTCTTTTCCCTTTTTCTTAATATTTTCCTTATCTCTTAAAATGATTTTTCCTTTTCTTTGCTTTAGAAGCTATGTGTCTTTATTCTAGCATGGCATGTTTGCCCTGCGGTACCTCTGGCCCTCGCAATGCCATGGTGTTTGAAGTCCTCCAGCTGCTGGGCCTGGGCCCAGCAAGGGCCCTGGGGTCCCAGCGAGGACCTCAGGATGTCCCATGCTGCTACCAAAGCCCCTCTGACTGCAGTGTCACGCGCTGACCCTGGCAGCACTCCACGGTGGCATGAAATCCCCACCACCAAACAAGAAGGTATCTGAAAGACCTGTGCCCATGCAGTGCGGGAGGGTTAGTAAGTCAAGAGGGTGTTTTTTTCCTAGTTATTTCCCCAGAGCTGCTCTGGTGTCCCTTGGGTGGCCGGGGTCACCACGGCACCTTCTGGGAGTCGGTTCACTTGCATCTGCAGAGGCAGGAAGGCTTGACTTCTGCTTGACTTGACTGCTCGTTGTCCTTTTTTTCCTCCCTGAAACTGTCTTTAAAAGAACTTAAACCTACTGGAAATTTGGCTTGATTGCTCTTTGTTTTAATTGTGCCTTTGTTTATATGTTTGTATTATGAATAGCAATAAAATAATAACATAAACCATTAATAATTATATAAAAACAATACCTAAATAAAATAAACAGGAAGTAATATCGTTACTATTCCTGCTTTTTTCAATTATAACTCTTGCAATAAGAGTTGTGATGGGAAGAAAGAACAGTGTGTGGAGCTTTCCAAAGACTTAAGCTGAAAGTAGCATTTTTTTCCCCAGCTGTTTAACCTCTGTGGATATAATGCCCTACAGGTTTTGAGTAATTCCAGATGCTCGAGGTGCCTGCGAAGCAGAGGTGGATGGGGGCTGGGGAGGGCCCCCTGGTTGCCTGGTGAATCCAATGAGAACAAATAAGCCTACTGTGGGCAGTAGTGGGTGGCCCAGCCCTGGAGAGTTGGGGGACCTTTCTGAAGTCCATAGTGTCTGCTGCCCCAAGACTGGCCAGGCAGCTGAAGGGGCCATGCCCACGTCACGCTTTGAGGTGATGCTGCCATGTCCGCCCAGACATTTGGACAATCACAGAGGAAAATCTATGGAGTATGGAGCACCTGGCCACCAAGGCCTGTGCCACTGCCGTAAGTTTTCACCGGAGATCTTCCTAGTTCATCAGGCAGCGCTTCGAGCTGGCCCTACAGCATCCCTGAGGCTCCTGAACCCCTTGGCCTGCTTCAGCCAAGAAATAAAGGTGTGATAAAGTTCCTACAAGACTTGTGAAAACCTTGTGAGCCAGCAAAGCCCCAACTCGCAGACCTGGGGTCACAACCCAGGTCCTTGTGACGGAGGGGTCACAAAGCTCTTGACTTCTCAGACCATGAGCAAACTTCATGTGCACGCAAAGAAAACACAGAATGAGGCAGACAGTACTTATGAGATTTGTGTTATTAAAAATAATAATAATAAAATATTAAAACCCCCAAACATACGTATCTTATATATGTTACATTATGGTCCATAACATTTGCTGGCTTTTCTTTTTACATATTCAACAAGGATTTCACAGAGGCTTCCTATAGCCCCCACTTTTCAGGGCCCTGGTGCCTCTGCATGACGCCCTTGGGAGGGTATTTACACATAACAGGTCTCAGAAGCTGGGCCTGGGGAAGCCCAGAGTGCAGGCAGGGGCCACCCCTCACATCATGCACTAGTGTCCTGGACCTGCCCCGTCTGATCGCACACTCAGTCATAAAGTAAACAGAAAGAGAAGACCAAAAGCATGTGGTGGGATGTGGGGGGTTAAATATGCATCTTCAGGTGGCTCTCTATCCAAATCCCCTGGAAAGCATTGCTTCTCCCCCAGTACACACTGAGCCTGCACGAGCAACTGGGTTAAGGTATAACTTCTCAGGCTGGACTGCCTGGTTTTGTCCCTCCTGGATCTGGGGTGGTTTCAGTTGCATCCGGTACCAGTTACCACTGCAACTCAACACTGATGCAAGAGAATTACAGCTGTGCCGATCTGCTCAGGCTCAGGGGCCAGGGCAAGGCGGGATGAGATGTTTCTGTCCTCAGAAACACCACTTTTCTCCAGAGCTCAAATGGCAAACGGGTGCATTGTCCCGGGGGAAAGAGCATCCCGCAGCCTCTCTGCACACCCACGCGATGTTCACACCACTGCTCCTCGCCCCCAGCGTGCCGCTCGGCAGCAGCCCAGCCCTGGTGGATTAATGACTCCGTAGGGAATTTCTAGCCAGCTGCATCCGGGAAAGGCTCGTGCCCTTTCATGGAAACCTAAGCAGCTTCCTGGGAACTCATCTGGTGGGAAGAGCTCATTAGTCAGTCAATCAGGGCAAAATAAGAGGGAAAAATAAGATGAATTCTTGCTTTGGCTTTTGAAGTGACACTTTGCTTTGGCCAGAATTTCTAAGACTTTTTTTAACCAAAGAGGAGAAGCTCCTCTTCTCACTGGCATCTCACTGGGTCCTTGCTTGTCCTCTCTGTGTGTCTCTGATCTCAGTGCTGATATACACACACAGGGCAAGCAGGACAAGCACTTCTGCTAGAAGACACCAGCTGGGAGACATCTCTTTTAATCCCCGCTTCCAGCTCAAGGCAGCCAAGCTGGAATCAAAAGGGAAGGATAAATCTCAGTTAGCCTAGATGAATTTTAAAGGTCCCTTCCAACCTCAGCTGTCTGTGATTCTGCGGAATCAAGCACAGTAACCACCACCACCTAAGTCCTCAAAGTGTTTTAGGTACCGAGGTTCCAGTCAAAGAGGAATCAGGTGCCAGAGGGACCTGAGAGCATCTTGCTCCAGCCAGCAGTGCAGAGCGGAGCTCAGGGAGCAGGCACTTTCTGTCTCTCCCAAAGGCTGTATGTCCTTGCAGACAGCACGTGTCTTCTTCAGCCCTGCCTCGGAGTGCCTGGTTCTGCAGAGGAATAGTGCCACTTCTCTTCTTCCTTGTGCTTCAGTCTATGAGAAGAGTTGGCAAAACATTAGCATCCAGCAGGGCAATGCTGAGCAGGCTCCTAACACTGGGACCCTAATGGGAGTCCCCTCTATGCGATGGAGCAGGCCCATCACAACCCAGTCAAGACGTGTCACTCCTCTGAGGTGAACTGAAACAGGGAAGAAGGCTCTCTGTCAGGAGCATGACATTGGATCAGCTCATCCAAACCATTTCCATCACACCTCAGCCTCAGTCCCAGGCACCTTTTGCCACTTTGCTTCTGGCCTCCCCTCAGCTCTTTCCAGGCCCTGTGGAAGCACTCCAGCATTCACAGGGCCTGCAAGGTGGCACTCCTGGCCTCAAGTATCTCCAATAAGCTGCTTCCAGCACCTCAAGCAACTCTACCAGTACAACTAATTCTTGGGCTGGGACCTCTGCGTGTTCCACAGACATTCCCCTGTGCCCAGGTTCGCACTGGCCAAACTCCCCTGTCCTGAATGACCGCAGTACTCTGGCAGTCTTTTCATTGCAGACCACAGCACCACCCACCCCTACCAGCCTGGACACGGAAGCACCAGGCCACCCATGGGATGGAGAGGCTGTCATTGGCTCAAAAGGCAAAGCCATCATCCTAATGAAATGGAAGATTGTAAGGTAGGCTACGATAGCTCACCAAGCCATCTGATGTTCCTAAGGCAAGTTCTGTAGGGGAAGGACTATCTTTTATCATATAAAGTCTTATTTCTACTTGTATTTATTATGCTAAGACAGTTACTACCTCAACACGGGAAGATACTTCTGCTGTCTGTTTGAACTGGAGGCTAAAACATTATGAGAAGAAATAAAAGAGGATGCCCATGCAGGCTGGTCAATAAAAATTACTCTCTCTTCCTGCCAACTCTGCCTTGTGTCCTACCTCCTAAGGCAACCTTGGCCATAGCAATACTTTCCAGGAAGGCATGGAATCAGGCCAGCTCTGAGTGATGCACATCAAGTCAGACAGTCACTGGGTGTCAACTCAACAGAAATCATTGGAATTCTGCTAGTCATTACCAGCTGAGGATACAGGCCCACACACATGCAAGATAATACAAGATTGCTTAGGTCAGCCTCTCCACTCTACCCCAGGTCCTGGATACCGGTGGGGCCAACTATAGCCTTTATGGAGATGGAGATGGAAAAAGGGGGTCTCCAGGTCTTTCCTGTTGAGTCATGTGGGTCACACAGTAGGACAGGTAAAGGCAAGGGGGATGTGCAGTATGTCCCTTTCTTACTGGAGAACACATCTCTGCTTGGCAGTGGTCACCAGCCCATTGCCAGGGCCTGACTCCTCACCATGATTCTTCAGCAGCACAGTGGTTCTACCCCAGACTAGGGCATGGCGTCCAGGTAAAGCTGAGGTCACCAGTGAATCAAGTTTTGCAAATGTTCATTTGGTTCTTCCTAGTGGAGCTCCTGGGGCTCATCTCCCTCCAGTACTGGATGGCTTCCATTGAGCTGGTCCACATGCACATTGGGATGAAGAGAAGAATCTGACCTCGTATTTCTATTTGGCAAGAAAAAGGGCCATAGCGAACTAATGACAGCCCACTTTCAGCGAGTATGGAAGAAGCAGGCCCTGGATGCTGGAAAAGGAGAGCTGTGAATTCAGACATTAACACTGGGCAGAAAAAAAGACTCTGTTGAAGAGCACAAAAAGACTAGAAAATGAGAGCTATGAACGGCATATCTGGAGCAGGAAACCAACCCTCTTTGAGCTCCTTTAGGCAACAGGCACCAAGAGGGTCTCTCTCCACTTTGCTCCTCATTAAAGGTTTGTCATTACTGCGTTATTTTTAATACACATTAAGATAAAAAAGACCCACACGCACACTCACACGTGTAGACACACACAAAAGGAAAATAATTGCCAAAATATACACTATAGACAGAAGAGTCTGTTCATACTATGTATATATACAGAGTCTCTGGGAGCAGTCTAGGCAGCGCGCACAGGCAGGGCTGAGGGCTTAGATATGAAACTCCTCATGGTTTCATGCACTTCCCTTTCTTCTCCCGCCGTTGCAGTTTCCGAAGGCGACGAGTCCAAGCATCCCTCCACTGAATGACCAGGCTATTCTTATCGGCCATCAGTCCTGGCCGATCAGTGGAGTTTTCACTGATGCCCATGACCAAGTACTTCTTGCTGATCTGGATCTTGGGACACTTGCAGGACAGGTCTTTCATGTGAATCCACAGGAAGTTGTCACCACGCTTGACCCGCTCATCACGGCACTTGTAGACAGACAGGATATTGATGGTGAACTTGGCCCAGCTGGCCACTGTCTCCATTTCTAAGATGTTCACTTGAACCACTAAGGGAAAAGAAAGAGAGATACAATGACTGAGGGTGCAGTTGATGGGGAGACACTCTGCCTTGCTCCTTTGAGGAAATTCTGGTGGCAGACAGGTTGCCTTGGCCAGGCTTGCCACAGCAATACTTCCCAGGAGAGCATGGAGTCAGGCCAGCTTTGCCATATGGGACTGGACTGGCAGCCCTGGGAGTGCCTTTCTCTCCTGGCGGTGGATGGTTGGCACAGTAAGGACAGTGATGGCCTAGCTGTCCTCAGGACCTCCTTCTGCAAGCAGCCTGCAAGCAGAGGTGGGCTTGGTGATTGAGGGAGCCCACCTCTGAATCTTCTTTTGGTAAGCTCCATGTGACTGGGAAATTTGGTACCCCTGCAGGGAGGAAAAGGCATCTCTCTGGGGATGGAGGCCTATCTCCCTGCCGGCACATGCAGAGTAGACCTCTAGAGCAAGGTGACTTAGCCTCCCATTCAGCCCCCCTGAAGAGAAGGACTCTCATTCCTAACATGTGGCATTGATCTGGGGCAGAAGCATAGTCCTGGAGGTGCTGCAACCCAGAGGCCACGGGGAGTGGGGCTGAGGCCACTGTGAGCATGGAAGGTCATCAGAGAATGTCAAAAGGCCAGGCCTGTGTCTGACACACAGAGTGGGGGTTCCTCATGTGCTCTTCTGGCAATGGGAGCATGCCCATGGCCATGCTCCATGGTATGAGCCCATGGAGACCTTCATCATGAACTTCAGCCATGGTCAAACTGAAGCTGGCCCTTGGCCCCAGAGCTCCCTCCTCAGCAAAGCTGAGCTTGATGTAGTAAGGAAGAAGGCCCTTACCATAGTCCTTCTTGCAGTACTTTTTCATATTAATCTTGTAGTTGCCTTTGGCTGGCTTGCAGTACGAGTCACAGTCTGTAGAGAAGGAAGAAAGGGTTGAGTCCTGAATGATTTGAAGTGAGCAATGTCAGTTTAATACTGTCCCAGGCAGAAGGGGAAGGGGAGAAAGGAACAGGAGGAGGTAGATACGGTGGAGGAGAGATCAGGAAAACCCAGCTTCTGCAGAAGATGGCATATGCACCAAATCCAAATGCCCTCCAGGAGGTTTCTTAGTCAAAACCTTAACTGTTAGGAATTGACACAGTTACTTTGTGCTAAGGTGAGCCCTGGCAGCTCACACGAGTTGTGGGTTGGCCATGCTGTGAACACTCCGGCTGCACTACTAATAGGAAAGCCTCAGCAGCTGGGAAGAGAAACTAAGTGGCAGCACTTCTGGGCCTATCATACAGGCTGCATCTACTCCTGTACTGAGCAAGTCTTAATGGTCTCCTAGGGAGTCTGCTGGATAAATCATAATAAGAATGTCTGAGAGAGCCTGAGGGTCCTCCTTTTGGGACTCAGAGGAAATGGATGGAGGGAAAAGCAGATATCCCACTTGCTCCATCCGCAGGATAACAGAGGGTCACCTGCGAGGCCTGAGGGGTCTTGTCTCACTCTGGACAGATTGGGCAGTGGAGACCACGAAGATCACACAAGAGCATGGCAAAGGAGAATCAAGAGGAAAGATGCAGTCCTGTAAACATGGAAGGTGAAGGAAAGAGAGCACTCAGCATCAACCCTACTAACCTCAACTGTCTGGGCAAGAGACCCAAAGTAAGGCCTGAATCCAGTCCAACGGCAAGGAGTTAGGTATAAACACATTTCAGGTCACTCCAAATAAGGGATATGGTCATTCTTAGACTCATACTCTTCAGGAGCCGTTCAGGGTCTCAGGGTCCAGAGGAGCAAGGAACTTCTCCCTTGGGACTAGCCCTCCAAAGACCTCCTAGGGTGCCAAAAGGTCATCAAAGCTGGACAAGACAACTCTGGACCCTGGAGAGCAGACAGGCTAGCAAAGAAGCTCTCCTGCAATGCAGGTTGCTGTCAACCGCCTGCGCATCACTCTGCTCACCCTGGCAGGAACAGTCGGCATGCCACCCTCTGCGGGCATGCAGCATCTCTGCCCAGCTTCCCTCAGGCTCCTGGCCTCCACCCACCCCCGGGGAAAAGCTCATGTCCTCAAGGGTGGTGTTTTTTTTTTTTTTTTTCCTGTGCATTTCTAAAGGCCCCAGATTTGCATCTCAAGCGGAGTGAGGGCAGGCCGGGAATGCCTCTTTCCTTCTCCCCAAAGGCTTTGATCCCAACAATTGCCTGGAGCAGCCCAGTTCTCTGCCTTTCTTTGCCCCTGCCATCCTCTTTTGAAATCTCAATTTGTCTCCTTCCAAGTGGCATGTTTTTTTCTAAGCACATCTTTCTTCCTTTCTTCCCATCGCTCAGGTTCTCTGTCCAGCTTGGCAGAGCTGAATCCACTTCCCCCGGGACAGAGCGAGCAGTCAGTGAAGTTGTCTTTGTTTGCAGGTTGCCACAGCGATCGTTGGGGATGGAGGCAGGGAGGGAGCGAAGGTTTGGGGGAAGAGATGGGAATAGCAGCTGCCCTGTGTGAAGAGGAGGAAGAAAAAGAAGGAAGAAAGGATCCCAGAAACGCAAGCTTGTCCTGCGCTCTCCTGCTTTCTCCTTTCCTGCCTGACTCCCTTTCATGGGGGACTTTGGGACCCCTGTTCCGAATTTGTTGTTAATAGAAACGGCTCAGCACAGGGCTGATTCCTGGACCCAGGGGCTGAGCCTTGCTCAGGCTCCCTGCACCCACCTCGCTGCCCCTCCGCGGGGGCCCACGTTGGTGGCACGTGCCCAGGGGCTGGTGGTAGCCCTGGTGCACGGTAGGACGCAGGGGCCGGCTCTGGTCTCCTGTCCTGCTGGTGGGGCCTGTGGCACTGGGCCCCTCGTCTCGGCTCACAGGACACATCCAGGGCGCCTGAGGGAGAAACCCAGGAGCGAGCAGTCTGGAGGCATGGGCAGAATTTGCTTCTGGGACATGTTCTGGGCTGGCAGAACTTGTGTCAGCAGATCCCTCACAGCCCTGGGGGCAACTCTCCTGATTGCCCCCAGCCAAGTCCACCAAAATGTGCTATTTTCTACACAAGTCCACCAGAGACAGAAGTGGAATCACCCTTTTCTTCCTCAAGGATAGTGGGAAGAGGTTGTCCACCCACCCATGTCACCCTTCAGGCCACCCCAGGTGCTCCCGGGCATCTCCCTTGCTACAAGATGCTGCCCCGGATGAAGGTCAGGATGACATGAGGGTGCCTGTGCCAGGAGGCACGGGGGGCCCAGGCCCACAAGGGCTGCACGCAGGGCTGCTGGCAACTCCCCGAGGAGCAGGGACAGGGACGGGGCAGAGATGGTAGCAGCAGGAGACACCTTTGTGGAGGAGGGAGCTAAAGGTGAAGAGCGCTGCCCGGGACGGAGCCCCGGAGAGCTGCCCGCGGCGCGGAGCCTTGCTGCCTAGGAATGATTTGTAAGTGCCACAAGCTGTAAAGCGATCTGCAAGGGTCAGAAAACACCTTTCCAGGACTGGAGTGATTTCTCTTGACGAAACTGGAGGAGTGTCAGAGCAAAAATAGGAGGGAAAAAAGGAAACAAAAAAAAAAGAACCAGAAATGAATACCAGCAGGATTCTTGCAGCTCGAAAGCCTGCCCAGCGTTTCAGCAGCCCGTGAGCCCTGCTCCATCCCAGCCTCCGCACGCATGATCGGATGCTGACGCACAAGCTGGGGGACACAGGGAAGGGCTGGGGACGGGCACAAGAGGCAGCTGAAGGGGCAGGGATGGGAGGGGAGCAGCACTGGGCACAGGGACAGCGTGGGGATGGCCTGGGGCAGCCCAGGTGCCACCAGCACCCGGTGACGATGCCAGGCTGGGGCTGTGGGCACGAGGAGATGCCACTGCTGCCGATGTCCCTTCGCTGCCAGCCCTCTTTGTGCGCGTTCATTAGCAGAAGAAAGGCAACAAAGAAGAAAGAAAAACAATAACCGCCCTGGGCTCCTGCTTGCGATTAACATAATAAAACTACGATGCCCAAAGAGGCAGAAATGGTGCATGGAATTAACAATTTGGGATTAGCTGGGGGCCTTTCAACCTCCACTTCATGCCCGGGAACAATCCTCAAATATAAAATCCACTGCTGCCTCAATTTATGTAAGAAACAGGAAAAAAGAGAGAGCCCGAGTGATGCAAGGCATGTTTCCCTGCCCGCACGTGGTGCTACATGCGCTGCAGGGTTGGGAAGGAGGCCCGGGGAAGCACCGGGGGCTCCCAGCCCTCATCCCGGCTGCATGGGTAGGTGCCAGCCTGTGCCCTGGCCACCGTTCCACCTTGTCCCTGCCCGCGTCTGTCTCCCACCTGCCCAGCTCCCGCTGGACTCGCCCCCGTCCCCAGACGTGCCAGCAGGGCATCCCCAGGGACACCGCTGCACACGCTGCCATTCCAGCCCCAAGTCGCCCCTGTCCCCGCTCCAGCATATGCCCCCGCGTCGCCCCGAACTGAGGGCACGTGGCGAGCGGCCCCGTGCGCAAGGGCCGGCCCTGAGCGGCGGCGAGGGCGGCGCGCCAGAGGCAGTGGCTTTGCACATCTGGTTTACTTCTCCTTGCCTTGAGAAGGAAAAAAAAAGAAAGAATATTTTGTTTTAAGAGAGATGTAACTTAATTAGGTGTTATGGCTGCAAATCTTTTACTGCTGACTTTGAATTCCTCTAAAGCCCTGCTTTGCACTCTGCTGGTTTTGTTAATTCTGCTAACGGGGAGTGTGAGGTTTTTTTTTCTTTCACTAAGTGGAAATATTTTAAAATAATAATAATAATATCATAAAAAATAGAGCTGGGACATTTTGTTACGGAGCTGGTTTGTTGCTTGGGCAGAAAGATCAAAGCTGGAGCTTGAGGGTCACCAAGGGCTGGAGAGGCAGGAGAAGGCCAGGCGGTGAGCAAAGTGGCTGGAGCGAGGGAGAGGATGGTAAATGCCATGGAAAAGCTGTGACTCACCCAGGAGAAGGTCCCAGGGCGTGAGGGAGATGGGCAGGGAGCAGAGGAGCAGCTGCACACCTGAAACCAGAGGGCCGCAGGCAATGACACCCTGTCCCTGGACTACTGGCTGACGAAGGATGGAGGTGGGTGCAGAAGAGGAGGACAAGATGCCCTGAGTCTTGCTTGGGATGGCAAAGGTGCAGGATGGGGAGCAGCCAAAGGCCTCCCAGGAGCAGCATCCCGGATGATGCGAGGATGCCTGCCCGCCCTGGGTCCCCGCTCATGACACGTGTGGGGTGGCCGCCCCGCGGGAGCAGGACCCTGGCCGTGTCCCGGGCTCTCCTGTTCAGGCTCCCAGCAAAGGCAAAGCACTCGGCATGCAGCATGTTTGAGCTAGAAGCCAGAAATCTTAGAACAACAAACCCACAGATAAAACTACAGGCAGCTTGAGAGAGACCTTCTCTGCTAAAACAAAGTAAACACCCAGGTCTCCATTGAGTGCCATTTATTTTTAGACAGCTGAAAATATCAGACATTATTCTAAGAATGTTCCTATTTATAAAGCACTGAAGGGGAGTCACCTTGATTACCTCCACTCCATGTGCTGCCCTGTGTTTGCAATAAAACCTTCCAAATCCCCTTTTCTCCCCCTTTGCTCAAAGCCCCTTCTTTGGTGTTCCCAGCTCCCAGTTAGGAGCTTCAGGGCCAAAAAGCAAAAAAGTTCCTGTTTCAAAATGAACTGGAGAATAGTCTTGCATTAATTTCCCACAAGCCTTCTTGTCCAAACCAGAGCCAAAGGAAAGACAAACACCTGCATTCAGCTCCCTCTCGCTCTGCTTGCCAAGAGCCCTGATGGAAAGGGGACCCCCAAGGACCCCTGGGTGCCAGGGAGCAGGAAGGGGCTCCCATCTAGCCCTGTCATCCCTCCCTGCTTCCAGCTGGCATTGAGAACTCCGAACGGAGAGCACCACAGGGACGAGGGGCTCTGGCTGGGGTCTCCCATCCCATGTAGATGGGCTGCAACGTGGAGCCTCTTCTCCCTCGTGAAGGATCACATGGAGGAGCCATGGAAGTCCCCAAGCAAGGCAGGGCTGGGACAGAGGTGGTGTCACCCTGCAAGCTGCCCTGTCCTGCTCAGCCTCCCCACCAGAATTACCAGCACAGATAACTCGGGTCTTATCATAGCCCACCGCACTGTACAAAACGCCTGACGCACAGAGCTCTGGCACTATTCCACACCCAGAGCATGAAACCAAACCTCTGCTAGATCCATTTGGAGCTGTCTGACACAGGATAAAATTCATATAGTGATGATACCTCGGTTCTCGCTAGAGCCAGGACGGATGGAGGGGCCAGAAGCTCTGCTGAGCCAGCCAGAGCTGGGCGAGTGCGAGGAGCTGTGCCAGGTTGCACGGGAGGCTCTGAGAAAGCTCCCTCCTCTCCCTCGCTATCCGCACACAAGCCAGCCTGGGAAGGGTAAACAGTTGTTGGCATTTCGCACCATTTCCATGCTGGAGGTCCTTTTGGGACCACAGGTACCAGCATACGAGTCAAGCACAGCGTAGGATTTCTTGTCTTTCATGTGGGATGGGTGAAAGGACCAACGTCTTGAGGACAGTGGGGGAAACCGTGGCCCGAGAGGAAAACTGACCTCTTCTCCTTGCCTGTCCTGGCCAAGCCAGGAAGGATCCCTACACATGGACACACAAGTGGAGTGCTAGGAACAGCCACACTGTGGTGCTAATGGGGTTGAAATGGGACTCCAGAAGGAGCAGTAAGAGGGAGAGAAGTCCTGCCAGGCTCTACTCCTTGTGCACAGAAATGCTCGAATGTGCCCTTGAGGAGGGCCCCATCCACTCCGACCGCTGATGATAATCACGTAAGAAACAGACATGACAAGAAGATGGATTAGATGGCAGAATTAGATAGTTTGGGAGAAGGAGGGAGGGCCTATTAAAGGAAGGAGGTTGGGGATGAGACATGCAAAGAGGCTGTTGCACCGTCTGCCACGGCAGCTGCTGGGGCCCGTCCTGCAGAGCCATCCAGGGCACTGCGGGCTGGCTGCTCCCGCAGCCGTGCTCTGCTCCGGGCTCCATGGCTGGTGGCACACCACTGTGTGGTGCTATCGGCATGCTTTGTGTCAGAGATTGATGGCATCTGCGGGAGCCTCCGTGGAGCACCAGCAGCAGGAGCCAGACTGGAAGAGGGGGTCGAATCCACCAGTCCAGGCATCTGCATTGCACTAAGCATCCTAGTACCCAGCCTTTCCCCAGGCTACAGCTTCTGCAGAGCTCGAGCCAATGTAGGACACTGCATGGAAAACAGACTCTTGTCTCTCCGGTCAGAGCATAAAAAGGGCTTGTTCCTGAGGAGGTCTAATGGCTTAGACTCTTACATCAGAGGTATCTCCCTTATGTGTGCAAGGTCAAAAAGTTGGGCATGGAGCTGTCCCTCTGCAGCTGTGACTGCCTTGTGTGTGCCAGCCTCAGTGTGAAGGGATGGCAGCAGCAGATTCCATGAGGGCTGCACTGGACCCAATGCCAGAGCAGAGTGTTAGTACTGGGATGTCCTGCCATTTTGTTTCTCACTTTCCAGAAATAAATAGGATTTCAAATCTCATTAATATTTTTTGCTAAAGGCAACCTCATGGCTAATCATAGAATCATAGAATCATGGAATCCTTAAGGTTGGAAGGGACCTCTAGAGGTCATCTAGTCCAACCCCCCTGCACACGCAGGGTCACCTAGAGCACGTGGCACAGGACTGTGTCCAAGCAGGTTTGGAAGATCTCCAGGGAAGGAGACTCCACAACCTCTCTGAACAGCCTGTTCCAGCACTCTGTCACCCTCACTGTTAAAAAATTTTTCCTTAAGTTCCTGTGGAACTTTGGATGCTTCAGTTTGTGGCCGTTTCCTCTAGTTCTATCAGTGGCCACCACTGAAAAGAGGCCAGCACCATCCTCCTCACTGCCTCCCTTGAGGTACTTATAGACACTGCTCAGGTCTCCTCTCTGCCTTCTCTTCTCCAGGCTGAACAGGCCCCGCTCGTCAAGTCTTTCCTCATAGGGCAGATGTTCCAGGCCCTTGATCACCCTTGTAGCCCTGTGCTGGACTCTTTGGAGAGGTAGCTCAGCACTTGGTCTCTGGGTATCTCAATGAGGGGAGAGGAGAGGAGAGGTGAAGAGAGGAGATGCCTGGAGCCATGGCCTGGCCCCAGGTGCAGAAGTCTTACCTGCAGGTGCTTCTGTGCTGGTGATGAGGGAGGTTGGGTTGATGGCAGGGATCTCTGGAAGAGAAAAGGAGAGCTGTCTTAAGGAAGAAGGGTCAAACCCCAGGGTACCTCTTCTTTCTCCTCCCAGCCCACCACTGGGGTAACACTTCTTATCTGGGCAGAGGAACCAAGCTGAGAGCTCCTGAAAGGGGACTTGCCCCATGTGAGGTCTTCATGCCCCTGCCGCCTTCTTAAGTAACTCCAGGATCTCCCTGGAGGCCAGGGAAGGTTCTGAGGACAACACACACATTAAAGCCCTCCACAAAAAAGGTGCAGAGAGGATTTCATAGGTCACGTCCCAGAGAGTAAGCTAAGAAAGACAGCAGACTGAACAAGCTTGATCTAGACATCACAGGCTCTTCAATGCACCTGGAAATTTCCATTCTGAGCTTAATAAATTGGAATATGTTGAGTCACTGCAGTCCTCAAGAATCATAAGTCACTTCTGCAGCCAGAGCTGAAAAACACTCCATGGTTCGTAACACTGTGATAAGCGTGGGAAAGACAATGCTTCCTCCTGTCAATGAAACCTTGGGGAAATTCTGTCCTAACTCCAAGCCAGACCATGCAAAACCTGCCCTTACTCCAAATCTGACTGACCATGTGCCAAACACAGCTATGGGAGGGAAAGGTACCTTGTTGTAACTGAAGATAGGATTCATCAGCAGTTATTTTAGCTGACTAAAAGTGAGCACTAATTCAAGGATGACATTTAGACCCTCCCTAGCTAACGCAGTGAAATAGTCCCCTCCTGAAAGCAGTTTAGTCATCCTGCCTCATCCACCTCTTGGAAGATCGCTGCCACTGATGGAGAAACCCTTGGCTTGACTACTTCAGAGCACTACCACTTGGCACAAGCTCTCCATAAGCTCAGTGGTGGAGAGGAGAGCTATCCCTTGGCTCCAGCGCACGGGGCTGAGGGCACCAAGGTGCTATGTGAGGGCACATCAGACCTGGAACACGAGGGGCGCAGCACTGGGAGCGCAGCGGTACTCACTGATGCAGGGGGCCACCGGCGAGCGGCTCTGCTGGTAGCCCTTGGCACAGCGGTTGCAGGTGAGGCCTGTCACGCCGTCTTTGCACGGACACTGACCCGTGGTCTGGTTGCAGGTTTTACCAGCTGCTCCAACTGGGTGGCAGTCGCAGGCTGAACAGGAGAGAGAGGGAAGAAAAGTTCCAGTTACACACCTGGCACAAACTGTCCACACCACCGTGCTCAGCCTGATGTTTAGTTAGCGACGGGCCAAAATTTCAACAAACTCCAACCCCCTCCTTCTGCCCTTGGTCATAGGCCACAGTGCAGGTAGGCCGAGGAAGCGGGAAGGAGGGCAAAGGCAGCAGGGCAAGCCCAACCTGGCAGGAGGAGGATTAGGGCTCATTAAGGTAGATAATTGCTGCAAGGTGACAGGAGAGAAAGAGAGAGAGACAAATAAAAATGTTACTTTCCAACAACAGATTTTGGGGAAAATCATATGTTTTAAATGTGTTTAATACAGAACTTCATCAAGACCTGCTTGGGACGGAGAGAAAAAATAAAAGAGGAAATCGGTGCATTCCACTCTACTAGGTTTTCCTGGTGAGGAAGTGAACGGAGCCAGCCGCCCTGGCACAGCGGGAGTGGAGGTGACAGGGATGGTGACGGCTCGATGGGGTGGGGAGGTCATCCGTACCAATGTCCCCATGCCCTGCAGAGGCAGCAGTTTCAGCCTGAGCGCCTGCACTAGCCTGCAGGTTTTCTGGCTATTTTTATCCTTCATGCTGCCCATTTGTCTCCTGTGAACACGCAGGAGGAAGCCCTGGCATGGGGTGGAGGCCTTAAAGAAGGGACCGACGTCACCACCTGGCAGAGAAGGCATCACTGTAACTTGAGGGAGGTCCATCCTAGGGCAAGGAGTCAACAACCACACAGGCTGCAGGCAGCAGAGTATTGGGAGGAAGATGAAACTTCAGGCCCTGTTGTGGCCAGGCCCAGCAATGAGACCCACAGGTCATGTGGACATGTGAAAACTCTCATGCAGAGGGAAGAGTATGGCCATGGATGGGATCAAAGGCACTACAAGGACAGAATCCTTCTCTACACACACCCGGGAATGCTTTACACTCAGCACAAAGCCACCTCGACCAGAGGGCAATGCCCAACCACATAGCAGTGGTGAAAGGCATTTTCTCTACTTGCTCCCCCACCCCTCAGCTACTGCAGAGCTGAACCAGTACTGAGATTTTTTGCAAATTCTAAGCTCATTTTAGTTTCAGGAGGTCTGAAGTGAGTTGTCTCAATGCTTCCCAAGCCACAACACCCGGACTCATCCTCTCTCTGTATGACCCAGTGGCAGAAGGATGCTGTCCTCATGCGTTTCCACCACAGCCTCTCAAAGGGACAGGTGCTATCTATCTGAGTCGGGGGAAAGTTGCCCTTGGGAAATATGCTACAACAGCACAGGTTCTTGGCTTGGATGACAGAACTGCCAAGGGTTGTCTAAGAAGAGAAGAAGACAGTGCTCATCAACAGAGGACCTTCCCATCCACCTTTCTGGGGCTCGGTGTGGCTCTGAGCTGGAGAAGGTTATCTGGGCCTCCATCAGTGTAAGAGTTGAATGTGATTCCAAAGCAAAACAAAAACAGCTCCCCCTTGCCCACCCCCGCAACCCCCTGATGTTATCATTTCCCTAATTTTCACCAGATGGGACCTCGTCAGAGCACCACAGCGCTGCTCCCCAGGCCTTCTCCTACATGGTGAGAAACAAGAGCAAGCAGCCTCTAATGGGGACCAGATGCTTCACTCCTTATCAGATCTTGGCTGGGATTCGAAACGGACGTGTTTCTGACAAGGATATTTTGGGGGCTCAGCTGTGATAACAAATGGCAGTGAGTGAGGGAGTCTTGGCATGATGTGGGGCCTTCAGAAACACAGGGCCTTTCTTCAGGCACAACACACTTTCTTGCCAGGATGGCTGGGGCCACGTAACACCTCACTTAGCAACCTAAGGCTTTTGCTAGCTCTCCTGGAAACACTCTGTAGTCAGGTCAACAGGGACCCCTCAGAGGCTTCTGGGATCACGGTGAGATCCAATCCCTGGACTTGATTTGCGGTTAAACGGGTCTCCAATACTGAGACATGACCAGCTGTACCGCAGACACCCTTCCTGCACCAATGGCTCTTGGGTAGTTATGAAGCTGATGTTGCTGGTGCAGGTACGAGAGCCTCTTGAGCTGGGGTTTTAGAAGCACTCCTGCCCACGCAGCTATCTTGGGATAGCTGGGAAAACTCAGCGTATGCTACCCTGTCCCCTGAGACCCTCCTGGTGGGATTGACTCCTCCCTTATGGCTTGCTCAAGTCCACAACTTTGGCTTGTGGAGCTCAGACCTGCAAGCTGCCATACGCCAAACCCTCACACAGCTCCACATGACCCAGGCCATCGCCAAAGCCAACATAGCCCTGGGAAAATCTGCTGTGGGGAGAGGAAGATACTGGGAGGGTGAAGGTGCTGTAGGGATGGCAACCTCTCATAGCAGTGATGTGAGCAGGTTACATCAGGAGCCCATCCAAGGTGCCTGCTTGGAACAAAGCCGACAGCAACAGTCCAGTCCTTGGCCAGCCTTGGGATGCCTTCCCAAGAATAGCAGTACCACTCTATCCTGCTCCAGAACAGAGTAAGGGACTTATCACTCTCTTGAGCCACTCAGATTCCAACAGCTACTTCCAACACATCCTGAAGATCCCCATGTGGCCGCTCTACAGACTCTTCTCAAGGGTTTTCTGAATCCTGTGGCACTCAGAAAAAGCAAGTGCCCTTGGAGAATAGGCAGGTATGTCTGCTCCTGGAAAAGGTCTATTGCTTTGTCTCTTTTCATTTAGTAAAGGCTTGGATATCCAGCAGCAGGGCTGGGCATGATGTACTGTCCTTGCTTGCTAGCACCATGTTGGAGAAAGCAGCCTCATGCCCACCAGCATCACAGCCTTGGTGCTCCCCCTTTAAGGGCTCTTACTCCAATGCTTTCCTTGGATAGACTATGTATCTGTGCTTGGAGAATCCTGGGCCGGCAGCGCGATCACGCTGTGGAGCCTGCCTGTGGGTCTGTTCCACCGACTCGTGAGCTTGCCTTCCTCGTGCCACGCGATGCAGTTTTCCAGCCTGCAAAGCCTCGCTTGCCATCAAGCGACTGGGTAGAAACCCTGCCAAGTGCTTTATCACCAGAGAAACCTATTACTGCAGCAGCTGCTCAGGTGGAGCTTGGACGTCACCGCAGACTTCAGTCTTCCACCGTGCTTTATGCACACGTAGTAAAAGACAGTCCCTGCCCTAAAAAATTTACGGCTAAAGGCATGGTTCCAGCAGAGATTTATACAAGTGCTTAGCTTCACACATTGTGGATAATCTCTTGGGCCTCAGCGGTGTATTCCTGGTGTTATGTTTAAGCATGTCCATAAATCTCTGTACAATCACGACTCAATTCATTTAAGTGGCTCCCTCTTTGTATTGTGGAAGATGGCTTTAAACGACTCCTGATCCTTCTTCTTGATTAGCAATTAAACCAGCTTTGCTCATCTTACATCCACGATAAGATAGGAGTTGCCACATCAGATCTCACCCATTGAGAAATTATCAGATTTCTTCTGGTCTCTTTGAGAGCGGCCTCTGGCTTTTACCAGCTCTTTAGGATACCTCACCCCACTACAATTTAACTGCCTTGTAATTGCACAAAGATTGATCAATCTTTACAGTACCTGAGGACAAGAACCAGTCCCAATGGCACCCAGTGCCACTAATGGGACGGATTTCACCACGGGGACAGCCCCTTGCAGCAGGTCTGGCAGCACGACCACTGCGAGCCCGGGCCGCCGCGCGGCTCCGCTGCCACACACGGAGCCGCGCTCCCTGCCGCCTCGGAGCCGGCCCTTGGTGCTTCAATGCTGGATTAAGTCACTAGCTTCGAGCTTAACTCATCGGGTTTTACTTGCCAGAAAGCATGTCTTGCACCTAATATTGAGGGTATTTTTGCTTCTTAAGGCTTAGCTGCTACCGCTTTGCCCGTTTTCATTGGAGAAAGCTCACGTTTTACAGCTTTGTTTAAATTACAGGGATTAATGCGCAGCCATTCTTTGTTTGACTTTGCAATTACCACCACTGAACTAATCCTGTAGGTGGTTCAGTGTTTTCCATCCCGCTCCACGGAGCGCAGTCCTGGTGCCGTGTGCCGGCGGGCAGAGCGCTGGGAGCTCCCCTGCTCTCCTCGAGCCCTCTCTGCTCACTGCCTGGTGGCCGAGGACTCTGTTCAGGTGCCACGGGGACATGTGCCCATGTGGAATATTTATGCAGCTATCTTCTAGGCACTGAGTCCTAGTAAAGACCACGTTTGGAAAGTTATTTAATAACACAGTTTGTTTAAATGAACTGCAATAGTTACCGGCCTCTGGACTAGTGTGTCATGTCTTGAATATGAAAGCAGCTTCATTCCTAAAGCCTGTAATGTTTCCTTCGCTCAGCTTCTGCCCAGCGTGAGTGCTGTGATGCACATGAAGACCTCCCTTCAAAGCCTGCACTGCCAGCAATGGCCTCGCTGCACCTCCCAGGTCACAGCGGCCTGCTCCGCGCATGCTTTTGGCATTTGCTGTCAAGAGCTGCTTTTTC